TTTGTATCCATTGTTGACCAACTCAAAGGACGGCCTTCATCTGCAACTGAAAACCTTTTTTAATTTGCATAATTTTACTTGTCGGTCAAGGTTTACGTTCTGTTGCTTTTCGCCGGTTTTGAACAAAATGTATTCTGCGACAGATATCTGAAAAAAAAATTAAGGCAAGCTTTCGAAAACTACAGAGCAACTCTTAACAAAAGAACCCAGTCGAACTGATGCGCTCTCTGCTTCTTGGGTCGAGAATCGAAAACGCTCATCGCCAGAATGTCTGGGCCACGCGAGTCGATTCTTTCTGCAACCAAAATTTCAATCACGATTTCGTCAAGGGAAACATCAGGCGGTTTTCAACTATCCGCGTTAATCAGGTCAAACAATCTCCAGTAGCCCAAGCCAAGGCAAAAGGTTTCATTATTTAAAGCCTATCGATCGAAATTCGAGTCACGAGTTTTATTCGTGAACTGCTAGCGAAAAAAACACACTTATAGTTTGTCACGCTTTTGTTTACGTTCTGCCGCTTTTCGCCCGGCTTTCAGCCGACTGTATCGTGTGTGTGAGAACATACATTTATAGTTACTTGCTCCTTACTTAAAATACATGCATGGTTTTTCGCGATACTCAAATGTCGGCGATATAACTTTTTAACAATCTCAAAACAAGAGAAAATTATTTATTATTTCATGCGTAGTTAATCCTATTTACATCAAACCTATTCGTGAAATCTAGGTCCAAAAAACAAAACACGGCGAGAACTATCGAAATACACAAAACTCAGAGCCAAATAAAACTACTGGTTACGTTCGGAAAACTTAATTCCTCTTAGGTAAGTGTCCACTGCTTTCCTGCAGTCTCTCCACTGGAAATCTCTTCCTTCGGGTGGAGCTGGATAGAACTTGCAGACTGCATCCATGATAATTTTAACTTTGTCAGGATTAAGTGGCTGTTTTCCTACCACCCCTCGCACATTTCTGCCCCTTAGTTCCTCTGGTTGAAACAGCATGCGAGTGAGGTGGACGGCAAAGTTTTTAACAGAGGCTGCCTTTGATCTGAATTCAAATAATTCGTGTCTTTGCAGAGGCACTGCAAAGACACGAATTTCCGGACCAGCGGCGGCACACAAACACAAGATTGTTCGATAAAAATAAATTTGGATCCTAGTATTTCGAAGTTGTTCGCAAATTTTGCAGGCCATACTTAACACGCCTAGAATTTCACTGCTTAAATAGCGACAAGTTAGTGCTTCGGTGTTTGATGAATTTCGAGACGTGCGGCACGTGCACTGTATAAACAAGAAAGAGCGCCAGAGGTTTTATTTACGGAACTTTGGCGCGTGTTGACAAAATTGTCGGCGCGTGCTGACAAAAGAAAAATATTTGTATGCGTGAAGGGGCATCTGTGATACTTCTTAGAGGTGTAAAATAAATAAGGCAAGGGTCTGAAGTATTTCGAAGCAGTGCACTGATTTATGGCAAGCAAAACTACGACAATGATTTCATCACGCGAAGCAGGGACAGGCACTGCGATGACACGAATTCCGAATAAGCGGCGGTACGTAAACAAAAGATTGATAGGAATAAATTTGGATCTGAATATTTCGAAGTTGTTCGCAAATTTTGCAAGCCATTTTTAACACGGCTAGAATTTCACTGCTAAAATAGCAAATAGATGAATCGATCAGAATGAAACTGTATACAACTATTTTTGAAGTTGATTGCCAAAGTACCGACAAGTACCGGGATGTTTAACGAATTTCGAGACAAGCGGCGACACGTAAACACAAGTAATAATTCATGGGATGCGAGTATTTCGAGGTTCTTCGCTAATTTACCTGGCTAGAATTTCATCGCTAGCGACAGCTGTCGATATGTTTGTCAAATTGAAAAGTCATGCGGCACATAAACACAGGATCAATCGAAAAGGATAAATTTGGATCCGAGAATTCGAAGTTGTTCGCAAACTTAATACGGATAGAATTTCATTTATTTGGTAGCACAAGCGCTGCGACTTGTGATGAATATCGAGACATGCGG